AACAAGGCAGTGACAAAGGTGTGAATTTTTAAGGCTTCCTTGAAGGAGTGTTTTGAACAGCAAACCAAAGATCAGCCACGTTATTAAGGGACTAATAGAGTTCACCCAATTTATTTGCCCAAACCACCACTTATAAATTCTTTTCCCCTTATTGTCTTTTTGTGTTTCTTAGAGCCAGCCCAGGAGAAGGAGGCATTTAACACATCAAAAAGCCTAGAGTGAGATTTCTAGCAGGCCTCTGCCTCCTCATTTATACCTGTGAGAGTGCAGTTCTCTCTTTGGAAGGCAGCACTGACTCGGTGCACTGTAATATGCCAAAAACAGCCTGGCAGAACCTCTCCTTCTGAGGCCTTTGTGCTGCCATCCACTGCTGCGTTCTCTGAGCAGGTTGCTGTGAAAGATAAATAGCAGAGTCCCAAAGTGATTTAATGGAGTTTCCAAAACCTTCTGTCAGTAGAAGCACTGCTTGGCAGAGGAACTTTAACTCACTCCAGGCTTCACTTGCCCCTTTGTTTGACAGGTTTTTCCCAGTCTGGAAGGTTTCTACCGAGTCATGAAGATGGTCGTGTTTGGGATGGTCCAGTGGATCCTGTGCCTTGTGTCAGCTCTGTCACTTGGGGAAGGTGGGACAGCAGCCTTTGAGTTATCATCTGCTTTGCCTCCAGAGCACAATTTGATATGGGTGTCTATAGAAATATTGCTGAAAGCAAATTGTGGACTCTGTGTTGCTGCTGTTGTTTTCCTATCTGGTAGGGTGACACATAGCAGCTCTCCTGTGTTGTTGAGGACTAGAAGATGCCCGTGGGCCAGGCAGATCTTCAGCAGTGACTTTGGGGGAGTAGGAGAGCATTCTGTTTTCCAACAGAAATAGCAAACATTCCTCTCTGGAGATACGGCTGATAAAAAAGATTGGTTCTGGCACTGACCAGCTCTGCTCCGTGGGATGGGCTTGTGGGCATTTCCAGCAAACGTGGATGCCAGCTCTTGCTTACAGAGCCTGGTGCTGAACACATGGGCATTCTGTGCAGATCCACGCAGTGATAAGCAGAGAGCCACAACCTACAATTCTGGACTCAGAGCATGAACGTGTCTGGAGGAGCAGGGGGGTGAACTTGTGCACCTGAGGGGGTGGACGGTGGCCTCCTCCATCCCAAGCGTGACGTGAGATGAGACCTCTTACCATGAGATAAGTTCCCACAGCACAAGATGCTGCTCTCCATGCCAGGTTAACCCACAGCCCTGTTTTCCACACGTAACCATGGTAACCCGAATTATCCAGCAGAGGTGCACACCAGGCCAATTTGTCACAGCTGCTCCTCCAACCCCACCGTGTCTGACATCATCTGAGCCTGCCCAGAGCAGGAGGACATCTCTGTGGCTTTGCCATTCCTACTGCAATCCCAGTGCAGGCAGTGGGAGGTGGGGAGAAGGAAGAGGAAGAGGACGAATGCCAGTGCAGTTCATGCACAATGCTGGCTCTCAGCAGTACGATTAGTTACTTGGCAACGAGAGCAAGGTGTGTCAGAGTGGATGGGACACAAACACACTCACCAGGCCCAGCAACAGCTCCAGAACTCGCAGCTAATACGGCTCGTCTGGTTTTGCCATGGAGCCCTTAACGAATTAAGTAACACCTGGAAGCAGCCTCCCACTGAGCACATTACACAACAACCCTGTTGCCCATATTTTCCATGCAATGCCGTTTGGTGAAACTCTGCTCAGCAGAACAAAAGTTGCCTGTCCTGCCCTTCTCGTGCAGCTGAGAGATGGCTGGTGCTGTGCTGAGGGGACAGCACGAATTTCTGCACTGAAATGGAGGCATTTAATGGTTGCTTCTGCTCTGGAAGTGCTGTGGATCTGCTCAATAGTAACAACTGGTATTCCTCAAAAGAGGAGTAAGTCTTCAGAATTCCTGCAACCTAAACATAAGACAGGTTTTGCAAGGCTTTCCAGTAGAGCCAAATAGCACCAAAGGATGCATGGTGTAAAATACACCTATATTCTTTTGTAAACATATTAACATGGTTTCCATGCTCATTTCTTGTTGCATGGCAGTAATAGAACCGTTAGTTTCATCTCTGAGACAAAGAACTGCATAGAAAAGTAAAAGCTGGTGTAAATGAGCAATTGAGAATTACCTACACACCAGCAGCACTGCCCAGGGGATGCAGTGGGTGCTCAATGCCAGGCCATTAACTCTGAAGGACTGGTGGCCAAGGCCAGCAAAGCACAGGGAAACTGCTGATGTGAGGAATGCTGAATGGGACGTCAGCATGCGTTGGTAATTCTGCCTCCCAATGCCAGGACAGGATGAAATTCTGCATGCCTCTGGGGGCAGCATCTGCATTAACCTCCTTGCTTTGTTTTGATTATTTTCCTACAGCCCCTCCAGGTGAATCTATGGCAAGGTAGAAGATCCATGGTGCTCATAGGAAGTTAAGGAGTTGCAAAAAATGGGAGCTTGTACAGAAAAGTGTCTTCTGGCATTTGCTGTGCCCTGTTTCTACCATCAATAAGCCTTGGGTGAAAAGAGGGAGGTGCACCAGGGGGACACGGGGAAACAATTTGGCCGTGACAGTTACACATAAGGCTGTCGGAGGCACACAGCCATGAGCCAGGAATGGCTGAGCCTTGAGTCCCAGTCTTCCCTCTGACACACACTCCCTCCATAGGTCCACCTGCAGGAGAGCGAGGCTCCCGCTGGTTCACTTTCAGCTGCTGAGAGCCATTCTATCCTTAGCACTGCCCTCCCCAGAGCTGCCATGAATGCTTTCAGCATTGTGAGCCCAGAGCTCCACAGCTGCAGCCCTGCAGCCTTGGAGTGGGAGCTTTCCTTGGCCGCTCCGGGTGAGACGTGGGCGAGGGCACCAGCGGAAGGAGCCCATTGCAGCCTGACCCGTGTGAGAGCACGTTTGTTTCTGCACAGCCTCGCTTGCAGACCCGCCGAAATCTGGGTTATATAATGCCACTGCTGCCTCGAAACAGGGAGGTTAAAATGAGGTCGTCCAAGATGGGAGCTGCCTGCAGCCCGCAGCCGCCACGGGAGGACGATCCGCTCGCGGGGGAGCACTGCAACATAAACATACAGAAACGTAGGCCCGGATGCTGGGAGTCTCCTGAGTGCTCAGGGTGTGGAATCAGGCCGTTTTCTTTATTTGCATCTCCCTGTTTACGTGACAAACTGGAGCAGGCAGCGTGACGGGCTGTGGTCACAGGGCACTGCGGAGCTGCAGGGTGCCAGATACACACAGCACAGAGCAGCTCTGTGCTGCAGCCAGCCCCAGGTGTTACCCTTTGGTGCACCAGGTTCAAGGTCTACGTTATTCCTTCCATAATTGCTTTATGACTAGCATGCCACAGAAAGGCCTCCGCATCAAGAGGATCCAGGTAAGAAAGTAAAGGACTGTAAAAGAAACACAGCCTAATTTTTGCTTTTCATTCTTTTTTTCCAGAATACTAATGCAATTCCTACAGAACAAAGAATGGAAGCTTCCTCCTGTAAATGCATTTCAGGGAGATCACAAGGTGGAAAACATGGGGCTGTTTGAAGGGAGCTGCCTGGGGTGAGCATAGCTGTGAGCTTCAGCACTGGGCATTTGGTGATTCGATGACTGGAGGGGATGGCTGTGATGGAGGTCACTAAAACCAATGTGCTGCTGCCTTACAGCTGCAGAGCATTGCAAAGAAAGAGTGACAAAGGTTGTGTTAACACGAGCACATGAGTTTGAGGAAGACCTACTACCTCCTAACAGCACATGAAAACACCTGGTTTCCCATTGCTATGGTAACTCTTTCCTTCAAAGAGCTTCAAATTTGTTTCCAGATCCTCCAGCTTCTTGGCTGGTGCCAGAACACAGCAGTGAGGGCTGGAGGGTTGTCGGCAGGACAGCAGATGTGGAACAGTCTTTGTCTTTGGCAGCAAGTGATGGACGATGCTTCGGTTCCAGCGGGGAGATTTCTACGTCACCATCACTAAATTGGATGCACGTGGGATGATTGCTGACCACAGAAAGAAGCAAAGATGAACCACCTACCTCCTGAAGGCAGAGGATCAGTGCTGCTCCAGCCTTGCTCCTTGTTGGGGCACACGGGTTTATGCAAGTTGCTTCTGGTTGAGGTCCCATCACGGGATGTTTTTTCTCCCAAGTGCCCCAGTGTGTGCAGGCAATGTAACCCCACATCAGCTTTTGCTGCTCAGCATCAGCTCTCCCTTCTACGTGACTTCTCTGCTGGTTTTCAGAGGGAAGCAGTCGGGCTGAGAACCCCCAGGGACAGCCTGATGCAGTCTTGCAAACCCTGCCCCGTCCTGGCAGAGGGATGCTAAGGCAGGGAGTGACCCTGAATAAAACCCCATCCTGGCAGAGGGATGCTAAGGCAGGGAGTGACCCTGAATAAAACCCTTGCTCAGATGGACCATGAATACTCAGCAGGATGATGTGGCAACCCGTAACGTAGGTAAGAAATGCTTTGCAAAGGAGCAGTGCACGAAAACAAGTCTGAGCAAAAGGAAACTTAAGCCTCTTAAATATTAAAGTTCCAAAATTAAACCCTTGTTTATATAAGGGTTGGGTCACTGCTGCAGAACACAGGAGTTTGCAGCCTTGCACCAAAAAAGGCTCTCGTGGAGCCAACAGCTGCTCCTGAGGGCTCAGAGCAGGTGGGGAACAGAGCTGCAGCCAGGAGGATGCTCGTGGGATTCAGCTGCCCTGACACGAAGGCTGCAGTCACCCCATAAAACATTGCAAGCCTTTGGGATGTGCCTTGTAACTTGGCATAGCTTCGGGAAACAGGGCAGGCAGGAATGGGCCTGGTATCCCAACTGCTTCGGTTTGGCTCATTGCAGGTGATAGCACAGCAGTACAAGGCAAATGCACAAAAGAGGGAGATGAACTTCGTGAAGCTTCTCTGCTGCTGAGTTATCTTGAAAAAAGCCATCTAGGAAGCCCAGCAGATACACCCCTACTTCTTATTTTGTAAGAAAAGAGCACAAAAGAACTTAATCCAAAGTAAATATTTAACCAAACAGCAATTAACTAACAATGATGGATTGTAAACAGCGCTGCTCCCAGGCTGAGCTGCGGCTCTCGCTCTGTTTCTCTGGGCTACAGCTGCCCTAGGGGGGAAGGCAAGTTTACCGAGCCAGGTTTGTCTCTGCCACCTCGCTATTAAAAGGCTCTACAAACACAAACGGCGTCGGATGTTCTGAGGGCGAGGAAAACAATAAAGAACGCAGCAATGCATCGCGCGGGAGCTGTAAGGCTTTATGGAACAACCGTCCTTGGGAAGGAAGGCTGAGAAAACACAAAGCTGTAAAGGAACTGCTTCTCATCCGGGCAGCCTTGTGTGCGTGCACCCCGTGGGGCAGCGAGGCCACTCATCCACAGGGAAGTAGTGATGATCATAATAAGCATTCAAATTAGTAAAATATATTAGGAATTATTCATTACATTATCATTACGACCAGTTTGTTATTGTTATGCTCCATTATTATTATTATTATTATTATGCTCCACTCGGACAATTATCCCCCAAATATCACTACTTCCATAACAATAATACTTATTAATATTGTTATTATCTCTTAGTTCCCAGCTCCTGGTGCCTCCGGCAGCTGCAACAGCCTGGTTGGGCTCTGTCCGTGCCCCCACCTGCACCGGGGGGGGGTATTAAGGCCGGGGTGGTCCATGGGATGCGCAGGGGATGCTCCCATCCCGGCCCCGGAGCGCTCAGATCCCCGCAATACCCGGCGCTTCCCTTCCCGGCGCTCCGGAGCGGCGGAAGCGGCGGCCGTTCCCCCCCCCGTACCGCACCGCAAGGTCACCCCGCTCTGCCTACACGCCCCAGGAGGCCGTGCCCCCCCCTTTCCCCCCCCACAGCCCATGGGGGGGTCGGGAAGGGGGCGGCGGACGGGCGAAGGAAGAGCTCCGGATCCATCGGTGCGTCCCGCTCAGCGTTTTCCTCTCCTTTCCCACAGGACGTCCGGACCTGGGAGATCTTTTTAAATCCTGAGCGGTAGAGATGAACCTATCTGGGGATCTTCTGCAATTAAAAACAAAAACAAACAGAACCCAATAAAAACATCGGGAGATGAGGAGCAGGGATCCGGTTCCGAAGGTCGGTGCTACAGGGCTGCAATCCTTACTCGCTCTTTGCGGCTCTTTGTGTCACTGCGCGTCGCCGTGGCACCTTCCTGTGCCCGCAGCCATCGGAGGTGCTGCTCCCACTCCCCCTTAGGAAGCAGAGGGGAAATCACCCCCATTTAATGGATGGGAAACTCGGCACAGCGCAGATGAAGTGATTCGCTGACAGCACATAAGGAAATGGCACCAGTGGAGCATTCTCTCCGTTATGCTGTCCTTGTAACTGCATAATATCCCTCTAATTCCAAACGGAACATACTCCCCGTGCAGGGCTGCACTGCTGAATGCAAAGAGTGCAGACAGCATTAGCAGCACCCGTGCATTCTGCTGGGATGGTTCAATCCAGGCTGCATCCTCAGCGTGGTGGGCTCTGCACAGAGCAGCCTACAGACAGCAGCCGAGGTGGGCAGGGGTGCAGTGCTGCCACGTGCAGCTGTGACACGGGGGGGAACCGAGGGATGTTTGGCTGCTTGGGGTGCAACACACTCACATGCAGCACACCCAGCTTCGTGCTGCAAGGAGGAGGAGCAGCGTGCTGGAAGTGCCCCATGGGACGGAGGGCCAGGAGGGGAGAGCAGAGCAGAGCCCCTGGATGCAGCCACAGTGCGGGTGTGCAGCACTGAGCCCAGCCCCACAAGCTGCCATCCCGCCCTATGTCAGGGCTAGGCCACGATCCAGGCTCCCCTGCCCTCATTTGAATTGGCCCGGCCTCGTAATCTGCTGCTAAGTGGGACTGCGATGAGCACCGAGATAAATTTAGAAAGAAATCTTTGTATGGGTCAGAGGAAAAACACCGCAGCCTCTGGAATCCGAGCAGAGCGACTCCGTGGCTCCTGCTGCAGCCTGCGGGCAGGGAAAGGAGCTGGGGGTCTCTGAGTGCAGCCTGGTCAGCCAAGGCTCCCACCCAACAAACCCATTCGGTTCTGAGAAATCCAGGATGTGTTCACGTGCAGCCAGGAGGGCTGCGGTGCATCGCTCCTCCTCCAGGACCACCGGCTATGCCACAGCAGTGTTGTTCCCTCACAGTTCTGCTAAGCTGTTAAATTGTTTTTAAACAAGAAATATATATATATATATAATGGTATTAGTGGTGTAAAATCCCCCGTGAAATCACGCATCCGCTCCCCCTGCTACATTCCAAGCACCATTCAAAAGCGTTTTATCACGTGCTCATAAAGGGTATGGAACCAATGCGAGAAAAGGAAAAGAATCTTCTGAATTATTTTCCTTTAATAAGCTATTAGGACCTTGTACTGCTAATTAAACTATTAATTAGATGCCTTATCGTTCCCAAACATGTTAGCACGTTGCCAAAGCAGCAGAGAGCCTCTGGGGCAGGCAATAGATAAGGAAAGAAGGAAGATGCAAACATGAAGATTAAGGGGGGGAAAAAAAAAAAATCATGAGTAAAAGAAGCAGAAATAGCAAATAAAGAACTCAGGGTAGGTAATGCATTATTTAAATCACAAGAATAACAAAAAAAATACAGAAGCTAAAAATAAACACCCCAGGGATGTGGTCTGCCTTATGCAAGAGCAGGAACTGACGGGCAGCAGTGCTCACAGGCACCCAGATGCCAGCCCCACTGTTCTAGCAGAGCACAGCCAGCAGATAGCAGCATTGCTATACATATGTGTGTATATACCCCAGGCTGCAGCTGTTGCAGTTTTTAAGCTATGCTGGAGCCTCAGAGCACAGCAATGCTGGCCCACAGGGCTGCAGCCTGCGCTGCTACACGCATGCTGTAAGGCTGTAATGGGAGAGAAAGCACCATGATAACAGCAGGGTGACAAAGAGTACGGCTGCAGCCAGTGAGAACAGGCCTAAATACAGCAGCCACGGATACAGAAATAAAGAAAAAGAGCTGCTTACATTTGGGAGGCTTCAGAGTGCAGGAATCTCCAGCAAGAGATGCCCTCAGCTCCTCTCCACCCTTAAATGAGGTGTGGGAAGGGGTGAATCCTGACTCCACCTCTTCCAGTCACTCAGGTACATTGCTTGCACCTGAGCTTCCCTGGGTCAGCCCTGCTTCCCCACCAGGTGCTCAATCACTGCTTCAGGCCATGACTTAACATCTCTGCTACACACACCTGTGACATCCAATGTAGAAGTGGTACTTCTGCGTCCTCTAAACAGCCCTGCAGTGCATCTCGGTGCCCTCTGTGTTTCAGCAGGATGTGGCTTTGCTTTTGGTGGCTGTTACAGTGCAGTGGGGCAGAGTGAGGGACTGAGCTGGAATTTTAGCACCCACACAGGCTGGGTGCCCTGGGGGAGCACAAGGAGCAGCAGGAGAGGAGCTGGGGCTGCAGGAGGGACAGGGCTGCTCATGCAGGGCAGGTCCTATTGCTGGGGGGCTCTGCATCAATGGAAAAAGGATGGGGAAGCAGAAAGGAGAACAGGGAGCTGCTTTCTCCCAATGTGGGATGGGCTGTTCTGCTGTGCAGGGCTCACCTGGCAAGGTCATGCTGGTTTTGCTATGTGCACCACGGAAGATCCGTCGAGAGAAGTAGTTAATAAGACTTAATTAAAACTTGCTTGCTCTGATGAATTTGATTGGCTTCAGCAATGCACCGAGCAAACCTGAAGCTCTCAGTAACACTGTGTGGCAGCTCAGACACAAAAGTTATCTCTCATTGCTGAACAAAGTCTCTGCTTTCAGCCTGAGGAAAGGCCTGGGGCTGCCTGCATGGCACCAGGGCTCCATTCTGGTGCATGGATGTGACACTCAATGGCTGTGCCAGCACTGGGAGAGCAGAAGAAAAAGCCACAGTCCCAGCAAGGTCAATGAGGAAGGGATGTGAGGGGTCTGATAAGGAAGGAACAACAGCAGCACTTTTGCCTCGGCAGGGCCGCCCACAGCCCCTTCCACAGCGCTCGTCCTACAGCCCCGCTCGGCTCCGTGCCCACCAGGATGTTCCTGTGAAGCCTTTTGTTCTGCTCCAGCAGCTGATGGCTGGTTTTGTTGTTGTCTCAGTTTGGCTGTAGGACTTACCCAGAGCTGTGAAAAATGCACCTGAGCTTTGATTAGATCTCTCTTTTCTGATGCAGCAGATAGCTCTGATTAGATAAGGGGCTGCCAAAAGGAAACAGAACACACACCAGGAAGGACCTCACAGCACAGCAGCTGCAATCATTCAATGTTGGTATGTGGAAGGAGCTGCAGTGAGCTGGGATCTAAGTGAACCCCACCTGAGTCCATGCTTTCTGTTGGGGGACTCCAGCTCAGCCTCCCCGACCTACTGGCACTGCAGCTCAGTGCTCCCCTGGGTCTGGGAGAGACAGAGACAGCTAAGCCCACACCCAGGGCAGCACAATTCAGATGCTGTGGAGCCCAAATCTCTGAGCAATGTATGCATTGAAAAACACAGCAGCCAAAATAACCACTGCTTTTACAGGACAGCAGCGTGCAGGGAGGAGTGAGATCTCCTCTACCCAGAGACCCCATGTTATCCATGCCCATGGATGTGGAGATATGGGTATGGATACCTGTGGGCACCTACCCATGTCCATGCCCTGCAGCTCTGCCCCATTGCTCAGCCCCACCGTGTGCACGGCAGAGGCGGTCAGTGAAGTTCCAACACCATTATTTGGGTGCACAGAGGAAGCCTTCTTCCTCCTGCATTCACACACACCCTGCTGTCAGCACAGCCCCCAGCCATCAGCCTGCAGCCTCGTTTATTTCTCCAGGAATTAGCAGCACATGGTAAACATCAGAAAATCAAACAAACGCCGTTTAATAACTTGATGCACGTCACTCGTCCAGCAGACGTGTCGGACAGCTTTGAGTCATCACTTTGTGCTGCAAAACAAGGGCTCACTGAGGTGTGGTCCTGAGCCCCACGTCCCAGCGGGATGAACACGCGGCGGCTCTGAGGACACTCATTTCTAATGCTTCTTTTTTCTCTTTTTTTTTTTCTTTTTTTTTTTTCACTGAGATGATTAAAATGAGGGCTGGGAGAAGCAGTTCACAGGGGAACGGCGCCTCGGTTTGCTCCTGCTATTGGCATTTCAGCATTGGCTTTTTGTTACTGTAAAGTAAAAATGCTTTGTTTTTGTCTGAATGGAAACGTCCATCACAGAGTCCAGCAGATGTCTGACCAGGAGCCCTTTGGCATCTTCTGTTCCCAAAGTCCTATGGAGGCCAAAGCTCCATTTTGTAGGGTGAGGTGATGGGACCACGTGATGATGGATCACTACAGCGGTGTTAATGCCATCTCCAAGCTGGGAGATGGGCGAGACCCAAAACACTCTAAAACATCTACTTGCACCCCGGTGGGGTCAGCAGAGCTCAAGGTCTGTTTGTATTTCAGCCTTCAATGCCACATTGGAAGTGTTACACAGAGCTTCAGTACATTCTAAGAGACGAAGGAATGTCAAAGATGGCATAAAGGGCGAGGAGGGGATTAAACACCCCATGCTTTTAAAGGGGGAAGACGTCCTGTGCTTAAAGACGAGATAAAAAAAAAACATAAATCCCTGAAACCTGAAAGGTTCGTGTCACTGGAATCCCAATCTAACTATTTAAATCACGGTACCACCAAATCCTGGGGCTGCTGGTGCTCAGATCACCGCTGCAACTCGGATCGTGGCTTCAGCCTCCTCTGCTCAGCTGCATTTCTCACCGTGTGCTTTCAACAACAAAAGCAGAGGATGGCAGTAAAGAAGTTCCCTGTGCAGTCATTGGAAGAAGGAGGGAGAGCAGAGAAACGGCCCCAAGCGGCGCTGGCGCGCAATGTGCTTTGGGGCGACGGTGAAGTTCTTCATGGAGACGAGAAAAAGAATATTAAAAAAAAAAAAGATGAAAAAGTTCATTGTGAGGCACTCATGCACTCGTGGCGTCACATGGAGGTGTCGGCCAGGCTCTGCGCGGTGCCGCGGCCGTTGCGGGACGCGCCGTTCTCCTGCGCCCCGTTGGCGCTCGGCTTCTCCTGCGGTGCAGGGCTGCCCTGGCTGCCGGTCTCCAGGTCGTAGTGGTCTTCATCCTGCAGGCAGCAAGGGGAGAGGTGGTGTTAGGGAGGGGAAGGCGGCTCTGCCACCAAGCAGAGGGTGGGTGGCGTCCTGTGGGCACGGGACCGGCACCCGCTAACATAGAGCCATGTGGACATGGAGCCCTGCTGGCAGCCAGAGCTGTGCTTGTCCTCTGGGACCTGAAAAGAGGAGCTGTAGGGTGGGTGCCGGTGGATAACCCACCTTGGGTTGGCAGAGCTGCCCCAGCTCTGAGGGGCTCTGCT